ACTTGAATAATTTGGTTTATTAAGTTGTATAAAAATATTAGCTGTCAGATTTGAAGTTTCAAGTTTCAAATTTCAAAACTCAGTGGCGTCTTTTTTCGACTTTTTTTTGGTAAAAACATTAGTTGTCAGATTTGAAGTTTCTATTTTTTGTCACGCCACTGAATTCATTGCCATATAACCTTAAACAAATCTGTCATCAGGTTGACAAACTTCACGACAGAAACAGGGGGTACCAACTCTCTCAATCAATTTTGATGACCCTGTATTTTAAGAATTTTATTTAAATTGTTTCGAACGACGATTTATTTTGCAGAACTGCTTACAAACGCACCATGGAAAAAAAGCCTGACAAACCAGAGGATGTTACGAATAAGCCTTTACCTTCAATGAGTGAACCCATGGAGGTTCAAGATGCTGTAGCATTTACTTTAGCAACGCCATTCGCGCAGCCAATAATCGCTGCTTCAAAATCAAAAGCCCAAAACCATTCCATCAGTATTTTCTTAAGACGTTGTCACGTTCAACTATCGTCAGTAAACCGACTTTACAGACAACCGAGTTTTTTTTTTCCAAAAACTTTACAGAAACGAAACTAAACAATGGTATTACATTATAGGATTTCAACAAAACAATGTTTATTAATAAGAATCCTCGAGTCATCGCCTAGATTTTTAAACGCTAATCACGAGAAAAAGCTATTTAAAACATTCTATCACCTACAAATTTTAAAAAACCAAAAAATTAAAGTAAAAAATAAAATCGGTCCTGTTAACAGAAAAATCACCTCATCCAATAAATTTTTGTATGTAGATTATGAAAAAAATCTATTACGTATTTTTATTATATTCTTATACCTACTACTTAAAAATTTCAGTTTTAATCTTGTTTTACAAATAAACTTAGGGATGTACCGACTACAGTCGGCCGACTAGTCGGCTTTGTCAAAACCGGTTAAAATTAGTTTAATCGACCGAAAATTGGTGTCAAAGTGTAGATAATCTTCCGCTAGTTACGATTCTGAAATCGCCGTCACGATATATGGTCCAATAAACACGCAAAGCGAATTCAAAATTTCCAAAAATTTTCCAAAAAAGTGGTTAAAATTGGTTAAGTATTGTATAAACTGCCCTAAATTGTGTTATTCTTTATTTTTGTACTGAATTACTACAAAAAATTAAATGTTAACATTATCCAAAAAAATTTAACACATTTTTTGGAAAAAAAAGAAACTTCAGTTATTCCTTTTATTAAAATAAAACAAGTTTTTAAGGTAGTCAGAGAAATAGAAAAAAAAAACCCACTGTCTGTTGCATTTATAAACAGTCGGCCGACTGTAGTCGGTACATAATAAACCTTACGTGAAAGCGACAACCAGATATCATAGACGTAATCAACGCTAAAAAAACTACCCAAGACAGCCATCAGAACAAAAACAAATTTTCAAAAGTTAAATTTGCAGACTTGTGTTATTTATTTGCATATAACTATTTGAATAGAGGGAAGGTATCTCGGGGAGAGGGCGGATTAATCCTTGTTACCATACCTGGTGCTGTAGTGCCGAGTTCACCGATCTTTATTTGGGGTTCGGTGCCGAGTTGGCCTATCGTAATTCGTAACTACCCGCAAAATTTACCTGCGATTAGTTGGTGCCCAGTTGGCGTCCGCCCCGGTAAGGTACTGTTCACAATGGGGAGGGATTTCCCACATTTGTAGGCTAAAGCTGAAATAAAAGGATTAACAATATTCCCGGTACGATATAAGTAAATATTTTTATTCTTTTTCTACTACCTGCAGTGGTCGGAGATGCCCATCCATTACCAATACTTACAATATTTTGGCGGAAAATTTTTCTTAAACTTTCACAAATAATATTTAGGAGTTTTGTTTTGGTGTGTTATTTACTTTATCGTTTGCAATAAAAGCAATAGTAATAAAAATAAAAAATACTATAACTGACTAATTCATTAATTTTTTTGAGCCACCTCTTTAGGCAAATCTAAAAAATATGAATGCAATTATAAATCGCAAGTAAAAACTCATCATATTTTGCACATTTTGGGTAGAATTTATTCGGCAAAATTTTAAGATGATGTCATCAACTTTTGTGGGGGAAAAACAGATATATACTTGTCCAAAAGGTATAAGGTTATATGACCATCATAAACGTAGTTGACCGCAAGTAAATACCCCCTTTGTGTGGTTAGCACTAAGCTTACCGGTTGGCAATAAATCGTCTTCTAAACATTTCTTGCTCACATTTAACAGGGCCGGCTTTCAAAGCGAGTGCTTATTTCGGAACCCTCAGCGGCTGGAGGTAGTAAAGAAATAGTGGAGTGGTGGATTTTCATATTTAGTGAAAGCCGCCCCTGAACGAAACCACAACAGGCGGTCGAGCTGCAGTGGACACGTTATTTACGACCCTAAAACCTTTTCTTTTGTAAACAACTTAACTTCGACACAATAGGATGATTTTATGATGGCCATATAACCTTATAGCTCTTGGTCCACTATATATATTTTGATTATCAATTTACCATGCTTGTAATAACTTCAAAACGTCTGCAAGAGTTCAAAGTATTCAAATTTGCAATTCTTGATTTAATCAATAAAATAAATTGACTCAGTCATTATTTTTTTGATACCCTGTATAACCAAATCTAAAAAATATTAATACAGTGATAAATTACAAGTCATCATATTTTGGACATTTTAGATAGGATTTATTCGGCAAGATTTTGAACTGACGTCATCAATTTTTTGGAAGAGTAACAAACTTAACTTTAATCTCCATGATTTCAAAGCATTCGATTTTGTAGTTCCTGATTAAATCAATAAAATAAATTCACGCATTCATTAATTTTTTTTAGTCATTCTGTACATGCAAATCCAAAAAATATGAATGGAATAATAAATTACAAGTACCGACTCATCATATTTTGTACAATTTAGATAAGATTTATTCGGCAAAATTTTGAGCTGATGTCCATCAATTTTTTGGAGGGGACAGGCAAATACATATATTTTGATTAAAAACGTATCATGCTTATCATAACTTTAAAACATGATTGCTGTACCCCGGAACACGGTTTTCCAATGAGGTAATAATAAGAACTCGTATTTATCAATTACCTCACTGCGGTTTTAGTTCTTTGATTGACTGCCAACTGTCCAATTCGTCAGCTGTTCTTGTTTACTTTGTTTTAGGTGTTTTTGTTACCGATGTTTTTTGTTTCTATCGAAGGTCGGATAGTTTTTTGCAGCTGTGTCGATTTCGGACATATCCAATAAGTCTTTGCTATCTTCTTCTTCTGTGATACGTTCTGTTTTCTTGCAATTTTCACAAGTGCCCATTTCAATGTTTCCACGTAAATAATTCGTCTGCAGATTTTTTGAGTTCCTCAATTCACTTTTAAGCTGGTCGGTTACTTCAGCGATGGCCGTCTGTATTATATTTGTTCTAGTTTTTCTTGTGATATAATGATGTGATCGGTTCCACTACTCAGAACCACGAACAAAGTTAAATAAATTCTTATTTAAACGCTTATCAATAAGTACTTAATAACGAAATATACAAATACGGTTCTGGGAACCAACCCCGAAAAGACTGGTTGCTCGGGCACTTTTATGGGGATTAAGTTCAATAGCAGGCACTTAAAGGTTGACCAGGTACTAATGACACTCATAAAAGGATTAATTCTGTTTCCAAGTACCTGTCTTTAGAAACAGTTTAAACCCCCTCTGAATATCAGAGACCAAATTTGCCTTGCTTTTCATTTTCTGCTGGCAGTGCTTTGGTGTAGTTTAAAAGTGAGTGTTGTGCTTTTTGGTTTAACTCTCTGAGCTCCAGTATCGCCGTTTATTTTGTAAGTAAGTTTTTAAAAATCTGCTATTAAATAGCGTTTGTGAGATGTGCTTACATAGTTTCTTGGTTAAGAAGACGAATAAGAAACCACAAGATTAAAACGCATACATTTACACCTCATGAATATTTAGAAACTCCGATTTGTAATTCTGTAATACAACTTTACTTAATTATTTCAGAAAAAATTATAGAAAATTATATCCTGGCCCCTGAAGTGCGAATTTTTCAGAGAATTATAATATTTGACTTTACGATTTTATGTTTTGTGATAACTTTTAAAAGTAAAAACCAGTGGCGTAAATAACACTTACGCACCCTCTGCCTGGCGGGAGCATAAATTCCAAGGGGGCGCGGTCCGTACAAGTGCGGATAATATGAAATATATTTAAAGCAAATAACAAACGGAAAAAAAATATTCCCAATACATCCTTAACTGCGACTGTTTGTGTTTATCGTTCCAAACAATTCGACTATTAGCACATTTATAACTACTATCAGCGGCGGCAGATCAAAATATTCATTTGTGTTAAAAGAAAATGAAATTTAATTGATTTTGACTCCTCAACACAGAGGAGACGACTAATTAATTAATCAATTAATTGAACACGCTCGATTTTTTCTCAAAAACCTGGATGTCTAACGGAAATTTACACAACTCTCTTTTTTTTTTTGTTCTCCTGTAGAACCTCCATGTCTTGATGTACACATTTTTGGACAAAATTACTTTCTAACGCTTTTTTCCCTAATACAATCCGCTTCACGCCCTATACTTACATTCTATAAGAAACACACTCCTAAACTTGGAAATTGTTGCTGCTTGGATGATCCGGTTTTTGAAATATTCAACGATTCCTGTAAAAATGTGTGTTTATTTGGTTGCCTCAATTTAGACCAAAAAACCGGTAAGATCTAAATGACCAAATGATAGCCGCAATATTCGATTCATATAGGATAATTATCATTAAAATTTAAGTAGCGCTGCAAAAATAAAATATTTGAACAATGATTGTTTACTGCCCGACCGTAAGCTAATTTCAAATTATTGCGCGCTCGCAATAGTGACAACTTGTCCCCTAGGGAATTTTGTAACTAGTAATATATAGTTGGCACTGTTTGTTACTATCACCTGTCAGTCATTTTGTGCAAAATTCAGCGATGAGTGTCAATGAGATAATATAGAAACACGTTATCATTATTTTTACGATGTTTTTTTCACCAATTTAAAGCTAAATACTATTATTTGAACCTTATTTATTAGCGATAGCGTTCCCGTTTAAGATTTTGTAAGTACGTGTTACATTTAAATAAATATCAGTAACAGTAGTTGTGTTTTGTTCACTGGCATTTAGGCTAAGTTTTTGTTTTGATCTATAAATTGTGAAAAATGGAATTATTAAAATTGTGTGTAACTTGGATCTGCATTTATGTGAGTTATGATATTGAAAACAGTGTTTTTTATTTTTTTAGGTGTAAAATAAGAATGTGGTCATCTCAATCAGTCAACAATGGCATTCAAAACAATAAAGAAAATGTTACACAAAAAAATGATACAAAAATACCTACTTTGGGTATGACCTCAGCTATATCCACAGCTCCTCCTAAACCATCTGATCTTTTAAAGACAGCAGAATTAGAAGAAGCACTTAAACCATTTGATGTTTTTGAAACTGAGCAAGAATTAAACCATCGTATGGTTATTTTAGGCAAATTATATTCGTTGGTTAAACAATGGATTAAAGATGTTTCTATATCAAGAAACATGCCAGAATCAGTTGCTGAAAATGTTGGAGGCAAAATATACACATTCGGAAGCTACAGATTAGGTGTAAGTGTTGATTAACTTTGTAATATAAAAGAATTGTATCAATCATTATGTATAACAGGTTCATAATAAGGGGGCTGACATTGATGCACTTTGTGTTGCACCAAGACATATTTTTCGTTCAGATTTTTTTAATTCATTTTATGAATTACTTAAGAAACAACCAGAAGTGACAGATCTAAGGGTATGTACATTATTACAAAAGGAATTGGAGTTGTAATTACTTTGATGTTCCAGGCCGTTGAAGAAGCTTTTGTACCGGTTATAAAGATGAATTTTGATGGCATAGAAATAGATATGTTATTTGCTAAATTGTTGCTTAAGGAAATCCCAGATTCCATGGACCTTCGGGATGATCTTTTGCTAAAAAACTTGGACCAGAAGTGTGTTCGAAGTTTGAATGGGTGTAGAGTAACAGATGAAATTCTGCGCCTTGTCCCCAATATCGATAATTTTAGACTAGCACTTAGAGCAATTAAACTATGGGCCAAAAGTAAGTACAATTAATATTGTTTTATAGAATAATTCTGTAATGATTGAATAATTATTCAATTATCAAGGACACGGCATCTACAGCAACGCTTTGGGGTATCTCGGTGGAGTCTCGTGGGCCATGTTAGTAGCAAGAACGTGTCAGCTATATCCAAATGCGGCGGCTGCGACTTTGGTCCATAAATTTTTCCTTGTGTTTTCTCAGTGGAAGTGGCCTCAACCAGTATTACTCAAGCAACCATCAAGTGTCAACCTTGGATTTGCTGTGTGGGATCCTAGGGTAAGCATGCACAAACGGTACTTTCTAATCGTTATGTTTAACAAAAATGTAAGATAGATCACTTACATACCTAGGTATCAAGTGATGTACCTTGATGGGCACATTTTAATTACTGTATACCCTGTGTATGTGTTTTAGAGTTTTTGACTTTTAATCTTTCAGTACAGGGTATTTTATAACTTGAGTTGTTATGGTAAGAATAAGTTGAAGCATTTTGGCGTTCATAATCAATTACTTTTACATTGCATTCTTTATTTTGTGTAGGTCAACATTCAAGACAGATACCATTTGATGCCGATTATAACCCCAGCGTATCCTCAACAAAATTCCACGTTTAATGTCTCAGCATCTACACGCCACATAATGATGGAAGAATTTAAATTGGGTTTGCAATTGACAGACGACATAATGTTAAATAAACAATCGTGGGACAAACTGTTTGAACCACCATTATTTTTTATGAAATATAAGCATTTTATAGTTCTACTGGTTAGCGCGGAAACTGCCGAAGATCATCTGGAATGGTGTGGTCTAGTAGAAAGTAAATTCCGCTTGCTCATAGGTAAGTGCCTAGGTCATAGATGAAATTAAAGTCCTAAACATTAAAGTAGCTAGCAACTTGGAAGGATTTTTTCATATGTAGCCTATTATAAATCTAAGTCCTTTCTGTTGGGTGCGTTTATTTAATTACCAACACAATTCTTAGAAATTATAAAAGACAAGATTTGATGTATGACTTATGTTTGAGGGGTTACCCTCTGGTAGTTGCCACCTACACACCATCACAGCTGCAAGCGCTGTCTCTCAAGGTGGGTAAAAACCCCTGCTACTAGCGTAAAAGCATGTAAACGAAAACGAATAAACAATACCCAAAAATCAAAATCAGCCCTTCAAAACTCAATGAAAACTCAAAACAACTTACTTCAATAATTTTAATGTTTTCACAACTTTGTCTTGTTTTTTCAGAATATTAAAGTTTTTTGCCACAGAGTGTCCTCATTCATGAAATCTTATATATTATATTAATAATATTCTTTTATTTTTAGAATTGTTTAAAATAGAAAGATAATTTAACAAACACTAAATCCAATAAAAGTTGTAATGTGGCAGCATTTTCAATTACTGAAATGCTGAAGTATGTTTTTTTATTATCATTATTTAAAATAGAAAATTTAGTATACTTAGCCTATTCGTTTGTTACTTCTACACTTGCGTAGCATACCTATGCCGTAAAATGAACGTGTAAGATTGCCCCAAAAAATTATATATTCTAAAATACAGCTTCAGTTGTGACATCGTTGATTTTGATGTTGCTTGTTAACCTGATCTCAAAAAGTGACACTTATAACGAACAGTTTTACAAAATATTACAAAGCTGCATATTTTTCACTGAAATTTCGAAACAATGAAATTATCTTTAGATAGGAGAAAACTGATTAATAACTATATATACATACAGGTGTATATAAAATTGAAATGGTTTGTATTTGTGTATACAGGGTGATCGAATTTGCAAATCTTGTAACAGTTTTGGAGCGTCCTTACATGTGATGTTACGATTGAACATCACATGTAAGAGTGAAAATATTCTTTGTCAATTGTGTTATGTAAATGTTGTCTCTTTTGCTAGATTTCTTCAGTGCATCTCATTTTGTGTCGCCATAACATACTGAATAATGTTTTCGCCGCAGCAATCTTCAGCTTATTATTGCTTTTAGGAACTCTGGAAAGGAACCAATATATAACGCTAGCACATATAAACCCTGAGAGTTTTAGTCAGTTGGAATCTCAACGTGAACCAAACACACAATGTTCCATGTGGTTTATAGGTTTAGAATTTGCTAAAACGGAAAATCTAAACGTTAATCTAACATACGATATTCAGTCATTTACCGAAACCGTTCAAAATCATGCACTCAATATTAATATGCTCAAAGAGGGCATGAAACTTGAGGCGAGACATGTAAAAAGAAAACAGCTTTATCAGTATCTGTCTCCGAGTTTGATAAAACGGGAACGAAAAACGAGTGTTTCAGCAAGATCACAAACCAACGGAACGGAAAGTAAGAAACGGCATTCGGATCCAGGAAATAGCGACAGTGATATTCCTAATAAGAAAATGAGGCTGTCAGAAGAACTGCATACAACGGTGAGTGATAATTTTTCAGATGAGAAATTAATCCAACATTTGGTGTTTTAGTACGATGATAGTTCAAATAATTCAACAAGTTTGAATGGTAACGACGATTCTAACAGCAACATTAGCCTAACAGATGAAGCTCACAATGTTCCACAAAATGCTCCGCCACATACATCAAATACTCCATCAACTCAAGAAGCTGTCTGTACCTGATATCTGTATTGAGCGTTAGCAGCAGTCGATTTATGTGTACATAAAACGTAAGATCTGCCTTGAAACTTTTTAATTCTGTTGGAATGTTTAAATTAAGAATATTCATTTGCTTTAATATATGTGCTTCACATTATTTTGGCAAATGACTTTTTATAGTTGCATACAAATAAAACATTTTTGAACAAAAAATATGCTTACCAAAAAGAATAACTGGGAATGTTAGTTTATTTTTAGGTCGGGCCACGTATCTACGTAGACCACTGTCAATCACGTACGTATAATACATACAATTCAAAGATAATTTTGAATGGTAAAATATTATCGCAAAGTGCAATGTTCGTATTTTTAGCTTTTGTGTATGTGTGGTTAGAGTGAGTGTGTTTTTGCAATATGTGTATGTAAATAATTTATAAATAAAAATAGAAAAACATCCATTTTCTTTATTATTAGTACATGTTAAATTTTTTATTAATTTTTGCGGTAATATTTTACAAAATACTGGTGCATCATTTTTTATAACATAACATTCTGAATTGGTTTTGAAAAAGAATTTTAAGCAGTACTTTGATGTTAATTTTATATATTTTTATGAGACCATTGGTTACAAAAATTGTTTTGTGAAAGATATTGTATTATTTACATTGCTTATCATTAATTTAGTAAACGTTTAATTTATGATTTATATAAAATACAAATTTGATTTTTTGTCAATTTATTCTTTATTTTTGTATGAGAAAGGGGAAGTATAAACTGTTTAAAGTTCTTTTAACAGTTGTGTCTAATTTAGAGAGTACTGTTGCAAAGTATAGGATCTTGACATGTAAACAGTGACGAAATAAATAAATACTTTCCCCTCATTTGATTTTTTATTCCCCCATTCTTGTCCTATAATTAGAAGTTATTGATATGCTTGAACACTGATGGACTGGATTATTTTTACATTTTCCGCTTATTTTATTAAATAAAATGCGTAAGTATGTGAGTACATACAGCACATTTATGAATTCAAAATTAAAAAAAAAAGAAACTATTATGTGCAGTTCTAACAACGGTGGGTGGCTTGGGTTCTTATTATTTAGTAGAAATCACTACTGTGAGAAACATACAAGCGTAAATATATATGTGTTGTACAAGAATGAGAAAATAAATTATGAAGGAATATACTGCAGCGGTACAATAAACAGCTGCAAGTATGGAATAAAGCTGATCCTGATACCTAAAAAGTCCCGACAAGCCAGGAGACTTTTCCTCGCTTTTACACATAGGTATGTAGATACAACAAAATAAAATTACAAAATTCAGTAATAAACAACTTGTGTAGTACTTATTATTGTTATTCGTTCTTAACAACACTTGAACAAAAGAAAAACACCTTAATCATAAAGATTAATAAAAATTAATATAAAATGTGTAGACATCGTGGTGTCCTGAATTAGAAATTTAAATTTTGCGTTAAGAAAAAAAAACATCGCCGCTAAACCGCATTTCAGAAATTAAAAATATTAAGAAAATTTTTCAAGAAATTAGGCAACCATGTGTAGAAGAATGCTACTTACCCTCGGCTTCGTAATGGTAGGGGGAAAGGAACTTACTGATAACAGAGAGCAGACATATACTTTTAAAAGAGGCTCTTGATCAGTGAAGGTACTGCTTAGATAGAGCAAGAGTTCTGGGTTTGTCTATGGATATTCTATAGTCCTGACATCGACGCCACGTATCATTTTGTTGTTTTGGCACTTTGAAAATTATGATCAACAAAATTAATAACATCTTGGACCGGGGGCAGGTGGAGTTAATTTTTGCATGTTTTTTTGTTATTACTTGTGTATCACTATTTGATATGCTGAATTTGGGGATTTTAGATTTTTACTGCACTTAGTATTCGTCTGTTGCGTTTATTTCATGTGCTTTGTTTATTTGAAATCGGAACTCATGAACTTTATTTGGATTTGAGGTAGATTAAGAGGAGGGAAGATAGTCTGAAAGAATACATACCTGGATCCATGCTTTCGACTAGGGTCATAAATGTTGTTCCAGCTCCTCCGAGAAAGTGGTTTTTCAAGAGATGTACTTGAAAATGTTTGCCGAGAGTGAGCATAAGATACAAAAATAATTTAATAAGATAGAATATAAAAGCAGTAGGAGTAAAACTGACTTGAATTTTTATGTTGTTAAAGAAATTTTTGTTTCTATTCCATAATGAAGCAACTAGTAAGACATGTTTACTATATATGAACCCCAGTAGCGTAACAATCAAACTGCGGGCCTGTGTTCTACAACACTGTGGGGCCCCTAATGAACAGCGAAATAAAAATATTTAAAAATACGAGTATAATGAATAAAGAATGAGTAGATTGCAATTAGGGCTAACGTTTTATTAAAATCATTCTACCTGAAACATTGAATTAAAAAAATAAAATACAATAATTACCTGAAGACATATAATTAAAATATATACAATATTAGAAACTAGCCGACCCGGCAAACGTTGTTTTGGCATTTCTAGTGAATATTTTGGTACATAGTTAAATAAAAAATTAAATTAAAATAAATAGGTACATCAAAATTTATCGTACGACAATGATTATTTATATTCAATGGCCATCTTGCAACCCTATTGCGCATCTGTGGATGAAAGCAAAGATACTCATATCGTTATTAAAAAATGGGGGTTGGTGGTAGAAGGGTCAAAATTTAGGGTTATATGTATTTGTTGAATTGTTGATGCCAAATCTTAAAAAAATAACAATCAAAATGTTGTCTAAAAAATAAAAAAAGTTTGGTGGGTCACCCTTATCACTTAGGGGTTTAAAAAATAGTTTACTAGACCTACTGAATATACACAAAAAATTTAATATAAACCGGTCAAGGCGTTTCGGAGGAGATTGGATACAAACACTGTGACACCAGAATTTTATATTAAATTATTTTAGAAAAAAATTCATTGCCATAAAAAAGGTTATACTGAGTCGACCTTAAAAGATTGACGTATGCTGTCGCGGACTTTTTTTTAGAACTTTTAGAAGGGAACAATTCCATCATACATGATTTTTATGTAACTTTAACCGTTTAATAAGCAGCGTAAGCAACGGAAGCTGTCAAAGGAAGAATAATTTTCCCGTTTTTCCGATATTTTTCATTGCTGTTCCGCTCCTATTAATCATAGGGTGATGTTATATAGCCTATAACCTTCCTCGATAAACGGACTTTCCAACACAAAAAGATGTTTTGAATTCAAACCTGTAGTTTCTGAGATTGGCGCGTTCAACCAAACAAACTCTTCAACTTTATAATATAAGTAATTATAGAAGTGTAGAAGTATAGATAAAATGCCCATTTTTTTTTTTTTAATCTCAAAATTGTTTTCTTCTTGCTTTTCAATGGGCACAAGTTGATACAAAATTTGACACATCTAAGCTTCTAGCAATTTGATTTCCATTTGAGAGATTCAATGAAGGTAATCTGCATTGGCTCATTGTTTCTTAAAAAATTTTTAGTCATTTTTAATTTCGAAAAAGATCTTTCCGCTGAAACCACCGAAAGAGGTATTGTAAGAAAAGTGAAACATGCTGTGATAATTTCAGTGACACTAGTACAGGTAGGTCATTCTGTAATAATTTCCCAGTCCAGTTTTTTTTCTACTTAAAAAATTAGTTGTAACATACGTTAGATATATTTTATTATTCCAAAAAAGCACCACAAGAACAAAATTAAAATAGTTTTGAAAATACGAAAATTTTCATAAAACACAACTGAAACTGATTTTTTTTTCACGTTTTATTACAGCATGAAGTTTCACTGTAGAACTGAGGACAAAATTTAAGTATTTTGTTGTCAAGCATCATAAATTACCTAGTCATACTTTTGTCGGATAAAGATTGGTAATTTACTACATGGGGTGTTAGATTTGCTACAATGGGATTGCGACACTGCGACAGGTTTATTACAAACAGATGCTGCTGCATTTTCGACCGCCGGTGCCGGTCGCTAAAACCCGAGTTTATTGAGTCTATGATATTGAGATGCCGCCCTTTGCAGCAAAAAATTAGAGTCCCTGTACAGGGACTCTACAAAAAATTCGTAAATAGCAATCGACCATCGATCTTGGGATTACCGCACATTTTCGAATTTTTTATTTCAGAATGTAATTTGGGCAATAATATAAAAAAAATCTAATAAAAAAATGTTCGTGTGACCGGACCGGGCCCCTTGAAGCAGCGGGCCCGTGTTCCGCCGAACACGCGGAACATCGGTGGTTACGCCACTGATGAACCCATCTGAAACCAAACGTCACCACCTCTGATCCTCCGTTGTTGACCGACCATTCTCGATGGAGTATACTAAACTCACTATTTTTAGGTCATAATAAAATTCTATGATCACTTGAGCTCTATTATTTAGAATTTTTAAGGCATTGCTCGAACAATAGAGCTCAAGTAATCAAAATTTTATTAGGACCCAAAAATAGTGAGTTAGGTATACGGAAAAGGTCATAAAAAGCTCTTCCGTGTAGCTCTTCTGTCGGCAAATCTTTAACCTTGGTACAATGAGGCAGGCTCCCTCCTATGATTCTACCTCCATGGATTTGAACTATAACTTGAATTAACATATAATTTAACCTCATCATGTAGATTAGTTGTTGTTTGAAATAGCTTACAGAGTGTGGTGTAATTAAATGCAGCCTGCTTCATTTCTTTTAATTCTAATACTCGTTCAGTTAACGTTATAAATTCAAGAAATAGGATTTGAATTTTTATTGAAATAAAAGCATTGGATCTCGTGGTTAAAGCGGAATACATGCTTTCTAATTAAAACGGACGGTTTTTTCCTTGTCTTAACAATTATGAAATTGTAAACTTCATGGCAGACCGACGACCGCGTGAAATGAGTAGTTTGGTTAAATAGCACGTTATTTTGCTAAGAAGACCTATAATATGCGGCAGGTTTTTTTGGCCACAGAGATGTGCAATGTGTTTTATATTGTACCTTGCAGAGATATAGTGTTCGTACTTATGGTCGAAAATTGCCTACATCTATAAAAAATGCCTACAGTCATAACACAAACATTCCGCCAAAATTTGAAACATGTAATCAAAATTTTAAAATCCACGAAAAATTCAAAATTTGGGCTTGAACTGTGATCGTCAATAAAAATGGAACCCTACATTGTATTTTTTTTATGACGAAATGCATTTAAATACAAAATGGTGAACCTTAAAGTTGAAAATCTAAACTAAATAAAACACAAAATATGGAGAACAAAAAATATTGTTTATTCCTCCACGTGTTGATACATAATCTTCGAAACTACCGGACCGATTGTTGTCAAATTGTATATGTATGTAGGTAATCCGGAATGTCGCCGCCGATTTTAGGTATGAGTTATCGTGGCAATGTACTAGGCTGGCCATGCCATGGGTGGCGCGTCTACGCGACCCTTGAGCTTATTTCATAACACTGCCATCTCCTTAATTCTGATCGTCAGGATCAAAAACACCGTCAGCATCACTGTTGTACATACTTCGTGAGGCGGTTTCGAAATCATGGATCCTCGTCATGACGGTATATGAACCTCCCCAGTATGGTAAAAACTTCGGGCAACGCCCTTTCCTTAATCGAAGGTTATAAAGTAATACCAAATCTCCTGCCCGGAATCTAGCTTACTGAAGGTCGTAGCGTGTTTTCATTCTATCGCTTACCACTCTAATGTAACGCACCATTCTGTGAACGACGTCTTCTCGGCCACGAACTAACTTTAGAAACTAATATCTTGTTCATTCCAAAATGAGCACCGGAACCCCCGCTGCTCATTTCTTAAAGTACTTCCTTTGTTGTGATGGTCGGAAGCACCAACTGT